GCATGCAAGGCAAGTGCTCTACCACTGAGCCACCTTCCCAGCCCAGTACTGAGATTTTTGAACTCAGGGCCTCACACATGCTAGGCAGGCTTCCTACCAGTTGAGCCATAAAGCACAGCTAGAAAAGCCTATTTTTAAAAGCTGAATGTGGTGAGCAGTGCTTGTAATCCCACAACTTGGGAGGCAGAGGTAGAATGATTCAGAGTTGGAGATCAACCTAGGCTTTCTAGCAAGATTCAATCGAATGAAAGAGAGACAGATGGAGACAGAGACAGAGACAGACAGACAGAAATGAGACAGAAAGGAAAGAGCCAGAAAAGAAAAAAGGAAAGGGAAAACCAACTTATTACTTGGAGGTAACACTGACATATGGTTAGATGCATGGAACATAAGTGAACAATTTGTCTTTGATAGGATACCCACATAGCTATCACCTCTGTCAAGAAAGCGGGCATTGCTATCACCTGGGAGGTTCCTTCTTGGTCCCTACCAGTCAGTCACACCTCTAGTAGACAGTGCTCTTGATATTTGTCATTGTACACTGGTTTGGACCCTTCCTAAACTAGATAAATGGAATGTGAAGTACATGTATGTGTGGCTTCCTTTGCCCAACATGATAAATTTTGCACATACTGGTATTTTAGTTAACTTAGGACCTCGTACTTCCTAGACTGGCCCTCTAGCACACACACTTGAGCCATTCACTCAGCCTTTTTGCTTGTTAATTAAAGATAAGACTCTTGCCTATTTGTCTGTCTGGACTTGGCTTCAAATCATGATCCTTCAGGTCTGAGCCTCCTGAGTAAGATTACAGGCATGAGCCACTGGTGCCTGACCAACATATGTTTGTTTTGTTATTGCTGATAGTTCTTTATTGAGTGAATGTGATATGTTTGTTTATCTACTTACTTAGTGAACATTTGGGATGTTTTTAGGTGTTGGCTATTATGAGTGAAGTAGCTATAAATATATGCATGTAAATCTAGTGACGTGTGTGTGTGTGTGTGTGTGTGTGTGTGTGTGTGTGAATGTGAACATGCATGTGCCAATTCTATGGCTTGAACTCAGAGTCTGGGTGGTGTTCCTGAGCTTTTGTGCTCAAGGCTAGCACTCTACCACTTGAGCTATAGCTCTACTTCTGGTTTTATTTTTGTTTGTTTTCTGTTTTTTGCTTTTTTAAAAAACGCCAGTCCTGGAGCTTGAACTCAGGATCTGAGCATGATCTCTTAGCTTCTTTGCTCAAAGCTAGTGCTCTACCACTTGAGCCACAGCTCCACTTGTGGGGCGTGTGTGTGTGTGTGTGTGTGTGTGTGTGTGTGTGTGTGTGTGTGTGTGTGTGTGTGTGTGTGGTTAATTGGAAATAGAGGCTTATGGACTTTCCTGCCTGGGCTGGCTTTGAATCGTAATCCTCATATCTTAGCCTCTTGAGTATCTAGGTTTATAGGCATGAGCCACCAGTAGCCACCAGTGCCTGGCACCACTTCTGTTTTTTTGGTGGTTAACTGGAGATAAGAGTCTCATAGACTGTGCTGCCCTGGCTGGCTTTGAACCAAAATCCTCAGCACTCAGTCTCCTAAGTATCTAGGTTTAAGGCATGAGCTACCAGCCTCTGCTTGACATTTTTTTTGTTTTTGTTGTTTAATTTTAATGTTATTGTCAAAGTGATGTACAGAGGAGTTACAGTTACATAATAAGGAAGTGAGTACATTTCTTGTCTAACTTGTTACCCCTCCCTCATTTTTCTCCCTCTTTCCCTCTCCCCCATCCCCCCAAGCTGTACAGATCATTTCCAACATATTGTTTTGTGAGTATCGCTATTGCATAGGTTCTCCCTTTGTCTTCTGTCTCACCATTTTGTTGCTCCCCTTCCCTTCCCTAGTTCAGATAAATGTCTATACAGTACCAAGTACCAAAAGCAACTACAGTGACAACAGGGGATAAACCATAGGGGGAAATATCACAAAAGAAAAAAAGAAATTATGTAGTACATTAAGAACAACAACAACAAAGAAAAAACTCTTGGAGTTCATTTTACTTAGCATCATCTTATATGGTCATAGGTACATAGCTATTGAGATATTCTGCTCATCTGCTAAGATTATCCTAGATGTATACTAATCATTACAAATAAGGGAAACCATGGGGCCTATGTTTCTTTGGGTCTGGCTTACTTCACTTAATATAATTTTTTCCAAGTCTTTCCATTTCCTAACAAATGGGGCAGTGTCATTCTTTCTTATGGAAGCATAGAATTCCATTTTT